GTAATAAATTCTGCACTTATTGCAAATAGAACAATAAAGCTGCTTTACCAGTAATGTAGAAACATGTTTTGACTGATACTGCAATAACATTTTTCTCAATCTAGTAATCCTGAATGCTCCACATTGGATTGGATTCGCAGACTTGAATGCTCCTCACCTGGTCTTGAGTGACTTTTAAAGCTCGTTAATGGTGACTCCTGGATCGTTCACACCGTTCATCCGAGTTGTCGCATGTTGATCCACCGATTGCTGCCTCGAAGCTGCTGCTGAACCAAGCAGAAATGAAAACAACAATGAATGCTAGACATTGAAATGCTGTGGTATAGGTACAGAGGAAGTTGAACAAGTCCTCATGAATTTAATGTATTAGTGAAAACAGAAATAATTCGGCACATAGCGTCCACATCGTATTTGTGTATAATGTATACTTGAAGAAGACTGGCTATAAAACTCTGTGATGTGACAAATTGTGCTTGTGGAGCTGCCTTTTAAAAACAGTAGTTGAATAAATACAAAGAAAATAGACACTTAAAATCAGCTTGCAGCATAAACATCTGCACATCCATAAAGCATTTAACATTTGAGTTTAAGAAAAGATGGCAACCACATTTCTGATTAAAGTGGGACTTGAAATTTCTGCCATGTCTGTATTTAATTGTTCTTAACTTTGACTATCTTACCTGTTGTAGACTGGATGCCGAAGGCCACAGGACCTCTGATGGTGAAGCCAAGGTAAAAGAAAACTGGCCTCGGTCTCCAGAGGCTGTTTCGCACATTGGCGTCCACCTCAATCTCCTTGCCCCCAACAAGTGCATGCACTCTGTAGTTTCGAACCACTCCTTTAACTCTGAGCAGGTGCGCTTGGACGCTGGCATTTTTGAAAAGATTCTCTTTCCTCCAGTTATCGCTCCAATTGGATGTTTCCTCGCTTTGATCCAAAAACAGTTCCTCAAGGACTTCTCTCTGAACAATTCTGTTCAGACCTTGACCTTTTCCGATGAAAAACAGAGGGTGAAGGTACCTTGATCCTAAGTACTTCTTATAAACATGTTCATAGGAGCTGCGCATCTGGCGAATCATTTGGCTGAGGTCAAACAGGCAGCTGTCTTCACTGTCCGGCCAGTACAAGAGGAGGGCTACCATGTACAGCTCAGGTGCATCCTTTTTGCTCAGGGGCATTTTCTGTCTAAATCCAGCGAGCATGAAGTCGACCGCAGCTGTTCCTGAATCTGTGCTTGAGCTGTTTTCTCCCCACCTTGTAGTTACGTCTTGGAGCTCTGATTCAGTGTATTCTCTGACAAGATGCGATAGTACCTCCACGTGTCCCTTGTCAGTCAGGCTTTGTTCAAGCTTCTGGATGAGTTGAGCACAACTTGATTCGATATGACTTGGTGTTGAGTGGGCAACGTACTTCATGTAGCAGTCTGTGGTGTCTTTAGAAATGTAGTCAGGGTCATCCCTCTCCACATTAAGCTTTGAGTAAACCAGATATTGATCAAAAAAATCACATTTTCTTTCAACCTCATCTCGAAGACTGTTGATTAGATGATTAAATCTGTAGAGTTTGTTGTCTCCAAGTGAGTTCAGGACAGAGTGCATTGGCTGGTTCTTAGTGAGAACTCCTTTCCAAGCTTCATTCTGACCGACCAGTAGGTCATACAGAATATTGCAGACCTGCAGGTAACCAAACTGTCCTCTGGTGTTAGAAACAGGCAAGCTTTTAGCTCTGCCAGTTTTCTTCACATTTTCTTCTATTTCTTCCTCAGCAAGTTGTTCTTCATGTTTAAAAGCGTCAATGGCCTTTTTGGCCAGTTGCAAAATTTCTCTTGCTGTGGCGGTGGACATTTGGTTCTTCAGTTGGTTCTTATGGACTTGACCCAGTGTATCAGCAACAAATGAATTTTGAGGGCATCGTTCCTTTGCTCTTTTTGCCCACATTTCTGCTTGATTGTAGTCTTTCAGCTCAATGTAACAAAAACGAGCGAGAGCTTGTGGAAAAAACGGATTCTGATCAAATTTCTTCGATGCGACCTTCAAAACTGATGCACTCTGGACTTTGTGCTCCGTGTTTTGAATATCGAGAATCAGTCTTGAAAACTTGTCTTCTCTTTCTTCATTTGTCACTTCTCTTTTTGTTAGCATGTCTTTGATAAAAGCAAGCAAAAATGAGGGAACCTCATTTCTGCAAAAATAGTTCAAGAAGTTTCTGGCTGTGTCACTTCTGGTCACACCTGCCTCTGCCATCAGTTCTGTACACTGCTGTGCTAATACAGGGTGAACCATGCAGACTTTTTTGTCTGATCTTTTGTCTTCTTGGAAGGTGATGATGAGGTCACTAAACGGTTCCATTTGATCCTCCAGTGAACGATCTTCATGCTTGAGGAAAGCCAGGCACTGAGACTCAAGGAGATATGAACCTGGAACATAAGCATTCAGCAGAGACAGGAAGGCAGCAAGCTGGGTCCTCCGTGGTCGATTTGCTCTTTTGACTGTTCTGAACACTGTGCATGCTTGCTTGATTAATTCTCGAGAGAAGTTAGTTTGCATGATGCGAAAGGCGTGGAACTGTTCGTATTTATCACCGTACCTTCCTCTGAGCTCTTCTGCCTTTTCATTGAATCTTTGCTGCTCTGTGTGTGAGAGCTCTTCCCGTAGGATGACTTGGTCATTCTGTAGAACGACATCTTTTCTCACGCAGCTCAGTAAAGTCACAACAGGCATTCGGGTATTTATCTTCTGTTCAGCAAGTTTCATCATTATGATCTCTTGGAGACTTTCTAAGATCTGCTCTTCATTCAGTAGCAGCAGCACAGTGTTCTGATTGTCTCGACTGCCTGCTGTGAAAAGGCGCACCACCTGCTCTGCCACATTTGTGATGTCTGAGGTTGAGTCGGTCAATACAGCACACCTGAAAGTTTTCCTCAAGTCCCACAACACCTGCATGGCCATTGTAGTCCCCCCACATCCTGGCTGGTGGAACAGCTTAACAGTTGATATTCCAGGGAATTTTCTGCTTTGCTGAATTTGCTCCTTAAGTGTTTCATATCCATCTCGTTTAACGAAAGGAGCCCCCTGTTCGCTAATGTGAAAGTTTAACCACTTCGGTGGGGCCCCTCTGTAAAAGTTTGCCTCTGTCTGCTCAATGAGTTTTGGATAAAAGGTTTGTCCTTCAAACTGATTTGCATGCAGAACATCCAACAGTGAGAGGGAATCTTTGATTTCATTCCACACATATAACTCTGTACCTTGATGTGTGGACAGGCCTGGTCCGTTTGCCATCTGGGACGATGGCACCTTGAAGAATGATAAACAATAGAAAAGAGAAGTCAGTTACCTGGGACTGTTCTACTGGGCTAAAAGCAAAACAAATCTTAAAAGGTACTTATGGTGAAAATCCATTTTTACTTCTTAAAATCTTTTAAGGAAAAAAAAAAAGCTGTTAGAATATGAAGATGCCTACTACTCTCATTTCTGTCTCATGAAAGTGTTCACGTTTAAATGGGCCCCAGGCCACTTTGTACTGGGGAACTTGGGTCTCGGGGTCAAAAAGGTTGAGAACCCCTGATCTAGGTGGCTTTGCAGCATTTCAAACAGCTAAAAAAATGGCATAATCCTGCCCTCTCACTGCCTCCAGCTTTCAGGAGATTCACTCAAAATGAGCAGCTGAGAGCATTGGCTCAGAGGAACTTTGAAGCGATAGAAAGCCGTGATCTCACACACTCATTCATGCCTGTGTCTGTGTAGAACAGAGGCCTGTACTACGAAGCAAGTTCGACATATCCGGGGTATCTTTTTGTGGTCTGGCTTCACTTAGCGGTCTCATGAGAAACCCTGGTTGACTGACTGAGCTGATAACCAATAAGTGGACCAGGGTTCTGAACCTGGTTATGAGCATGTTCACATGACTGAGTAGGCAGCAGATGACCAATCACAGACACGGACACGTCGACTGACACCAAGGTGACATATTTTACAAACAAAGATCAAACTATAATGCGAATATTTAAACACATGATACAGATTCAGAGGAACACAGCTGCAGCTAAAGCAGGAGGGAAAACTGCAAAAACCTGCAGACTGTGTGACCTTAACAGGCTTATCAATATTACTATCAAATTATTAGAGCATGAGAATATCTGACAATAAATATGACTGTATATTCTATTGAAAGAATGTAGTGCACAGACATTTACTTCTGTTATGCAGCCTGGGACATTTTCAGTCTTACTTTTTCAGCTGCAATCCTGCAGTGAAACGGTCCAAGTTCAAGATGAACATAATAAAAACACCACTGGAAGCACTCAGTAGGGCGAGTCTCATATCTTATAGAGAGATCTTATAAACTTTACATATTTCTCACAAGAAGAGCAGATTATCATCCTAAACCAATGTGAGGAATTGAAAACATAATACAGGCTAAAAACAACACAACTGCTGCAGACAAAGTCACAAAGGAAAGATAAAGAAATGCAGACTGTCAATGTGTAATTGTTAAGCTTATCAACATCACTGTCACGTTGTGTGTAAGCTGCTTAGACGAAAGTTTGTTACTCAAGAATCGGGCGGCTGTGGCTCAGGTGGTGGGGCGGGTTGTCCTCTAATCGCAAGGTTCGTGGTTCGATCCCCCGCCCCTCCACAGTCCAAGTGTCCTTGGGCAAGACACTGAACCCGAAGTTGCTTCCAATGGCAGGCAGCACCTTGCATGGCAGCTCGGTCACCAATGGTGTATGAATGTGATCTACTGTCAGATGTATGTCGCTCAGCATAAAAGCTAAATGAAGCTGTAAATTGTAAAGAATCATTTGAATTCAAACCAAATCACAGACCCCTGATCAGTTTGATGCTCGTTCCCCCTCCTGCGCTGTGTTGCCTTGTTCGCAAAAAGTTCTTCATGTCTAAAACCAAAGATTTCTCTTACCTTTTCTCTTTAGGATGCAGACGTCTCTGAAGTCTTGCTAACATGTAAAAAAAATAGTGACTGGTAGCTGGCACTGTGAAATGAAAGGCAGTTGGAGTTTATATAGTCTGGAGCTGCACTCACGGTGGGAGTTCCATCTACCTGTAGGATGCCAAAGCGGTTAGTATGTTAAGAATGTGGGAGTCATCTAAGGCCACATTAGTCAGCAAAGGAGAGGTAGTTAGGATGCATGTCTCTATTGTCTCTTCTTGTCTTGCAGCAATACTGTTTTCTTAGAAACGCTCACAAGGATTTCCAGTAAATCGCTGCGTGAGTTCATTTGATTTGTGATGCTGTTTGCATTGTTGTGGTTACATATACTTGTTTGTCAGGTTTCACTGCTTTGCATTAAATCTCTGTTACTGACAGATTTCATTGTTTATGTGTGCTGTGCAGGTTTCAGTTTCATTTCATGAATCAAAGCATCAACACCATAATGAAACAACACAACTCAGAACTGAGCATTTCGCTTTGGAGCTGCTGATGACAGTCTCAAAAACACGGATTCAGACTTCTGAAATTACTACAAATCTTAACTCCCTGAACTATAAAACCTGCCTGTGGCTTTACAGTCATGTTATTTATAAGAAAAAAAAAAAGGAAAAATCACCAAAACAACACCATTTGTCAAAGCTGGGAACCGTAAGAACAGAGGAACCTGTTGGATTTTTGACATCTCTAAACTTGAAATTGTGATATTTTATCAAAATCACTTGATTCTCGGCCCCAGCTCTTGCCTGTCTCTCTCTTTTTGTCCCACCTCTGTCTGCCTCTCCCTCTCTGCCCCTGTGCATCTTGGCTCGAATCAGGACAATCACCCTCAGCTGCAACTTCGGACTCACCTGCACACAATCACCACTGCTCCTATAAAGACTCGGTTCATTCCACCACAAGCCGTCGGATCATAGACATTACATTTGCATGTTTCTGCTGGTCTCCACTTCACCTCTCCCTGGATTCCCCTGAGCCTCTCTGCCCCCTCTGTGAGTATTCCTGTCAGTGTGAGTTTTCCTGGTGTTTTGTAACTTAGAATCTGTGAGGTTTCCCCCTCTGTTCTTAGTTGGAGCTTTCTCTGGTTTTGTAGTTTTGTCCTTTTTTGAATTCTGTGTGTTTGGTTCTGTTTCCCACTCTGTTTAGTCTGCACCCTTGTATTTAGTTATCATATATACGAGTAGGAT